ACACACACACACACACACACACACACACACATACATACTCACATACACACACAGAACCACACACACACATACATATTACATACATGACATTCCACACTTTGTAGCATATTAAAACATCATTCAAGGCGTACAATTCTGCTTTGGATAAAATGGAAAAACTTACGAAACAACGCAAAAAAAGCAATGTTGAAAAGTAAACAACACGGGGAGTAAAAGGGAAAAGAACACATCGTGGATGGGGAGAACAATGATGCAACTGAGAATAAAGAGAACAAGGGGAAAATAAAGTCATTATATTGAATTCCAAAAATGGAAAAGGTGAGAGAGAGGAAGTACTGAAAGCGGCAAGGAATAGTAATAAAACAGAAGAAAATAAGGCGTAATCAAAATGTTTCACATCATAATACGAAATCAACGTATTGTTGTCTTTTTGTTAACAAATTTCTGGATCTGAGTTAAAAAGTAAAACAATAAAACAAGAACTTGATGCGTAAATCATGCAATGTACTAATACGACACACTAAAATTACTGAACAATTCCATTCTCTTTCAATGTCTCAGACTGCTTTCTTACCAAAAAGAAAAAATGCAAAAAAAAACACTGCATATTAAACCAGGGGATGACAAAAACGCTCATAGTAAAATAAAAAGCATCAAGCACCTTGAGTATATGAACAAGAGAGAAATTGCGCACCGGCCTTACAAGCCATTTTCAAATTTAAAATTCAAACACAATCAGTGCAATAATAAACTGTAGTGTAAAGGGAAAGTGGAAAATGAGTTTTAATTAAATCGAATGGTTAACTGAAATCGAACGGTCCATTTGCCTCGAGAATACAAAACTGAGCCGAATACACCAACAGTTTTGTTTCATGACAAAAAAATGAAATAATAAACGACCGATAGGGAAGGGAAGAGGAGGTAAAGGAGAGACGAAATATACTCACAGTAATGCAGAAATAAAAGAAAACTACGCACCACAAAGGCATGGTTCACATTTCCTTGCGGCTACTGGTCTCATACTTCACCAAGCCAAACACTGGAGATTCCTTAAATTTTGAAATTTTAAATTTCAATTATATTTCGAATTCGGTCTTTCGATATTAACATGATATCTTTTCCTCATATTTTCATATTTACACCAATCTGAAGGAATTCAGATTAATTCAAAAAAAAAAATATAGTGCAATTAAATGTAAGAATGATTGAAATATAAAACGAAAAACTAAAAAAAAAAGATGGAAGTACCTTATTTTTCAAAGAAAGCATCCCTTCCGATATATAAGAGGGTCAAATGAAGTATTAGGAGACCAGCTAACTGCTCAAAAAATAATAAACTGATTGACAAATAAAGAGATGTTGCGAATTGTTGAAGGCATCGTTGGCTGGGGTGTGCATTTAATCATAGCGTAAAACAATTCAAACTTTTGAGAGACAAGATGCAGAAATTCACAACGACACGGTACAGCTTAGTACAACGCATAATCGGTCGTACATTAATGCTTTGCAGTGTTAAGATGGATTTCAGAGGTAATACGAGAGACTCGAAACATTGTGAAACAAAACTGAAATAGACTCATTTACTTTCTACTGTTTTTAAATACTAACGCTTAGTTAGTGTTGATGGAATACTATATTTTGCTGAAACTCACGGAACAAATCTTAAATTTGAAATCTTTGTAATACGAAATGGACATCATATCTCTACACATCCCAAGTTGAGGCGTAATGTTAAAACAATAAGGAAAATCATCGTTTTAAGGAATAGGGGCTTACTGATTTCAACTTCAACAAGTTAAACGATTTCGATATAAAATATGTGGGTCAACACCAACCACTTCAAGAACGCTTACAAAATGACCAGCACATAAACGTGAACTCAGCCAAGACTTTACAACAGTAATGTAAGATTCCCTGTGATATACTTAAAAAACAAAAGGTTCATAATAGGTACTGTGAAATGGCTGAGATCATTATTTCAATGTAACGTGTATGAATGAAGACAAATATAAGGAAGACCCACAACGTAAACAAAGTGGTTTGCTGAAACGATAAAATTACTGGTACGTTTGTTATTCTGAAAATTCTAGGGAAACAGAATATTTCAGACAGAGTAACTGAATTATTGTGGAAAAATCCGACAAATCTGCTTTCAAAAATGCTACATTCAAAAATGAATGAATATACCACAAAGTCAAGTGAAACACTATGCGGCATATCTCATCCAAAACCATACTGCAAAGATATGAAAACTTATAAAAGAAATAGAAAAAAGTTCATAGTAAAAAACTGCATATAGTGAGAGCATTACAACTGCTACAACCACAAATTAGCTTACTGAAGCAAAAACTAATAATTCTGCGATATACATTTCTTCCAATTTCTTAAAAAAACCAATGAAAGATGGTACCGTTATGAGGGATATTTTAGAGATAGTTAACTTTTATAATGCGAAGAACTGCTGATTAGTGCTCAATGTCCAAGTTACAAAATTTTTTTATCAACGATAGATCAAAGATATGAATTTGGGAAATCATCCACAAAAAGAAAGAAGACCATTACGAAAATACAAAAACTCTCGCCGCTTTAGTGGAATACTCAGTATTGCTGTTGTTGTGGATAGCGCTGCTGACTTGCCCCACGTTGGGTCATTCCCTGGGAATAAGCATCATAACCGCCGGCACCTAAAATCATTGTAGGTTGAGAAAATAAAAAATTATAGTGATTTTGCAACATTTACCAACACTTTTTTAAAACTGCAAAAAAGAACAATCAGGATGCAAAACTTATAATATGCATGAAATTCTTATAAAATGCTCTTAATTCATGCCCTACTCGATTTAAAATGAAAATATAACTCTACCATAGTAGCCACCAGCCTGTCCTTGTTGATAATATCCAGCAGCAGCAGCATTACCATACCAGTCACCCCAGCCCCCTGCAGTTCCAGTACCTCCGCCATATGCACCGAACGCTCCCATCTGACCCCATCCGGCTTGCCCGAACCAACCATTCATGACACCCGCCCGACCAGCTCCATATCCAGCCCGCATTGCCGCACCACCACGACCACCTGGGAAACGCTTACCTTGAGGAACGGCCTTCTTGACGTCGCACTACAAATGAATACAAAAAGATCAGCGAAAAAACTGATTATATAATAAATCGATGAAACGAAAAAACAAAAACATGGAGAACGAACTTAAAACATCACAAATATGTATGAAGTAACCTCGCGTGACCCAAACATTTGTTTTGGCGTAGCCGATGCTCGCTCAGCTGCTTCTTCTTCTTCAAACACAATAAATGCGAAATTTCTCCGAGCTTTTGTCTGTTTATCGAAAGGCCATTCAATATCCTCTACTTTCCCATATTGTTCGAAGTGGGCGCGCAATTCTTCTTCTGTAATAAATGTCAATTAAACAAGCAGTAGCTGACATCATTACTGCATGATAGCTGTGCTTTCTCCCACTCAGTGATGTGACGAAATAACTAGGCTGTAGACTTAAAAATCCGCTGCTTTGCAAATCCAAAATTCAGTAATGTATCACATACACAGGGATGAATTTATACAATGAGTACACGATACTCAATATTTGAGCAATATTTAAACAATAGATGAATTTAAACAGTGTTTATGAACTGGGAAGAAATTCAATATTACAACTGTCAAAAAACTAGGACAAAGTCAGTGAATTCTAATGAAATATTTAATATTATATATCAACCTGGATGGTCGGCAGGCAGACCACCAACAAACACTTTTTTGTTTTCTCGAGATTTTGCTGGCTTAACTTCAACGGTTTTCCCTTTGAGCGACTGTTCTCTTGCGTTGAGTGCAGCTCTACACGCCTCACCGGTTGCGAATTCTACAAATGCAAAGCCGCGAGAACGACCCGTATTTCGATCATACTTCACCTGAGCCTGTGCTACTTCACCATACTGCGAGAAATATTGAGATAGGTCTTCATTTGTAACGTCGTAGGCTATTCCACCAACGAATATTTTCCTGTAAACGGTACAATAAACAAGACGTTCCCCTAATATTATAATTTTGCACTTATGAAAAAAACGGACTGAAGAGAAAAGAAATAAGTACATACTTGTCTTCGTTACCCTTGCCCAGATCTTTCAAACCTCCTTCGCTAACAGTACCACCATTAACAGTTTCTGAATTCTGAGTTTGTTCTTCCTGATGGCTATCCTGAGTATCCATAAGATTCTACAATAGTAAAATAAACTTGTCGCATTACCTTTTTAATACTGGAGTCATCTGTTTTTTCAAAGAGGGTTGTACTTCATTATTATATAGTCAGTTACTCTCTATTGAAGTTAATAATAAGCAACAAAACGGGTTCCCCAATCAAGGAACTTCGCACACTGAATCAAAATAAGCAAACAATATGTATTAATTTAAATAACTAACCTGTTTACAGAAGTTATCCAATTACCAAAACTTGAATACAGGATAAGGAATTTAGATAAAGAAAGAAGGCTTATATAAATCAAAATTTACGAAAGCTTAGTCGTTACGGACTATCTAGAAAATACCCTGAAAAAAATGGCATTTTTAAATAAAATGTATTGCAAATGACGAAAAACATAACGAAGAAAACCTCAATTTAAACATTACTACATGACTAAGTCACACAATAATTACAGCAAGTTATGCACCTGATCAAAGCGGAAGTTTCCATTCACTCTTGGAACTCATTTTCACACACATTTAATCAAACCCCTACTACACAGTACCAGAGAGAGAAAAAAATCTTGTTCAAAAACTCAAACTTTTAATATTTTAACATGAGAATTTCCGTTAGGAAATTTTAAGAATCGCCACTCTCATGTCAGTACATGCACCTCTGCAACAAAAGTATGACCCATGTCTGCCTTATCAGTTACAAGCAATGGAAGGAAGATTTTAATTCGCAATGAACATCTCTTCGACACAGGGGGAAAACAACAGCGCCCGGAACTGTGGTCCAGCAAATGCAACAAAAAAAATTGAAAGAACTTGAGGAATATATGGTTGCCCAATGAAAAATGATAAATTCAGCAAAACTACTTCAAGAACGCATATCTGCAGATAACAAACAGAAAATAGGCCATAAGCACCCACTGATTATCAAACAGAACAATGGAAAAGCATTGTACTAAATCGTGTCCTCTAAATAACAAACAGTGTAAAGTGTAACAACACAACTGAAAACACTATAAATCCAGAAACTCATCCAGATTCATAACTAACAAAACAACTATTCCCTATTATTCCCACTGCCCTCATTATCTGATCTCTTTTATGCTCTGCTTACATTTCGACGTGAAACAGATATTGGAGAAAATTATTAATAAGAACTATAGCGATCACTTCTCAGTAAACCTGTGGGATAATTTCAAAGCAGCAAGTCCGTAGGCCATATTAGCATTAATATATAACCAAGTAATAATACATATATTTCTACAAGTGAGAGGAACAAATACTTATGAAGCACTGAAAACCACATTCGTGTACAGCTAAATGAAACAAATCATTAATTTTGAAGCTAAATACGTTTGCAATCCGGAAGTAGAGGGTTCATAAAGTGCTACAAGTCATGTGTGTAAACGCACAATCAAATCTAACAAAAAATGAAGGAATAATTTTACTTATCATAAATGTGATAAGTCTAATAAATTATTTCATCATAATGACCTACTTGCATGAAAATTATACAAACAGCTGTCGAATTTACGAGCGTAGAACCGACTGCACATCTACTCATTATTTATTGTTTTACCTCCTAGAGAGATACCTCACCTCTCGTAAATTTATAAACACTATGGATGGTCTAAGTATCCACAATACGAAATCACAAGGATAGTAACGGCTCATCAAATGTCATTTCTCAACATTACGCTTTTACGCAACAACAAAATCAATACTGCTAGCACCCTCCTCTCGAAACCGCAAACAACGTTACGCAACAACCCAAAAACCGACCGCACCCACACCTCTACACCCTACAACATAACCAAAACCATACGCAACGCGCCATGCACGCGCAACTTTTTCCATCTTACCGTATTCTGAGGCAATCCTATGATGACTCATATGATCGCTTGCAGCTTACTAGTATTCAATTTATCTTAACAAATCCGTTGTTTAAATAAGCATTTGGCGGTTATTACCTCTCGCTACTAGGCAATATGTGCGTCAGGTATGGTGACGCCATCAACTTGTTTTAGAAAAAGTTTAGTCTGAATTAGAATTTGGCTACACTCCAAAGGAATCAGTTCTACACAACTAATAGTATGTGGCTCAAATGAACAGCAGTAGGAATAGCAATTCACTGTAATGGTCTGCTACCCCCGGATAGTGATCGTTGAGCAGCAGAGATCGCAGTAGGTCTTCGCTGCACTTGACGTTTTGGATGATATACATACGCATACCCATACCCATACCCATACCTACATTCACGTCTTACATTTACTTAAAGATATAGATAGACGTCCTCACGGTTTGATCTTCTTTGATATTAATAATATACTCATACTACAGAGGCATGGAGGGGCACTGCATCGCGAGTTGCTTCAGTTGATAGCATTTATGCGATCTCTGAATACAACTAGCAAAATATTGTGAATTTCGCTGCAACTTAAAGAAGCCATAGACACTGATTAAGTTCGACGAGAGGAATCACTGAATAGGCGGTATACAGTGTAAAGGAGGGAGTTAATAACTGGAAGAGATCATTGGAAGGATGCGTCATGGTGAAACGGTCATCTGATCTTGTGACATCCTCTAGGATTATAATCACTGTAAACCGGGATAATGTGCAACTTATTACTCACGCAAAAACGGGCTACATCTGTTTGCAATACGGAGAGATTGATTCACACCAAAGTTAACATACTTTCAGTTGAAATTTGAAGGGGTTTAGCAGGAAAAAAGAGAATAAAGCAGCAGTCGTCCCAATATAACAAATCCCGCAAACGGTCTCAGCGAATGGCATAATCGGCCCACTCAAAAGTTGCCGTCACCCTTTATCACACCTTTCGTGCTGGTGTTATGGTGATGTATAAGAAATAGTCTTCGCCGACTTCTCCGAAGCAAATTAGTAATAATATAACTATGAGAGCGTTCTGTCAAATACGACTTTATGATCTTAACAAATCACCTGTTTTCATTCAAATGCAACTTGCTTAACATATCCAGCTCCGTCATTGTGCGACTTAAATTATTATCACGTATTTAAGCGGAAGAAAAATGGTTATACTTCGAAATTTGAGGTTCCTACAGGACTTGATTAAAATATTTCTGATGTCTCGAAAAGAAAGATTTTTCATATTCCACTAGTGGTAATAACATGGTGATAAAATCTGGTAAAAATTTCATTAATGGAAGTACGGATTTCAGTACACTTAAATAAAAATTTATTGATAAAAGTATATAGACTTCTGTTTCCATGTCTTTATCCTACATGTTTCACATGTTTCACTTTTATCAAAACGCTTCATCATAAAGCATTTCATCCATTTCATCATCCCAGCAATGGTAATGATACGGTATAGGATTAATAAACATTCGTTCATCGTACACAACATCTTCTAGGAATAATCCTTGGGGTGGAGCTGTCACCATCCCAAAATGATGGAAGTTTTCAGGATTGGGGTTGTTTAGAAGCCATATCAAACGTTCCCGCTGCAGACGTCCGTAAGCATGTTCGACAATAGTGCGTACCATATGTCTTATCTGAAAGTAGTATCAACATCTTACCATCATTTGAAATAAAATATAGCAAATTGAGAGGTCTTTAGCTTAAACAATTCAGTAGTCCTCCAATTTGTAATGTGAACAGTAGCATTTATCTGCGATGGGCGCTCTTGGCCGTATACGTAAGTTTCCCAGCCAATGAAGTTTGCTGTTTAGTTCGCTTCACCAAGTTCTTCACTTTGGTCTGGATTCCTGTTCTACAGAATATATACGTTTC